AAAATGTTACTACATGTGTTCACCGACATGGAATGATAATCATAACATATTCCTAGATGAAAATGCTAAAATATGTATTATACTGTTCCATCTTAGTTTTAATAAACTATTAGTTTTTGGCCTTAGAAGTTAAAAAGTCTTAGAAAATATGCTTTGAAAGTGGTTATCTCTGGATGGCTTGCCGTGGGGAAAAGTTTAGTACTTTTTTGGGTTGTCTGCACGGTGTTTATTCACCGGTGCTGCAAGCAGAGAACACGTCCATCGCCGTGGAAAGTTCTGCTGGACGGCAGTGCCGACAAAGCTGCTCCCCAGAGAATTCCGGTTCATTGTGCCCTGGCGCCCCGAGAGCCTGACCTGAGACTGTTGTTAAAGTGCCTTGAAAAGGTGTGGTGAGTGTTTGCTTCCCCAGGCCGGGGCCTCTACCCAGTATCTCATTTGCTTCTTATCAGCTCTACAAAATAGGCCAGAATGGGATTATTGCTCCCAGCTGACACCTGAGAGGGCTGAGTCTCAGAGGAAGACAGTGACTTCTTCAGCCCCCGCAGGTAGTGGGCGGATAGCGGGACTGAGAATCAAACCAGAGCCGGGCGTGGTGGTGCACACCTGTAATCCCAACACTGGAGAGGCTGAGGCAGGAGGATCATTGCAAGTTCGTGACCAGCCTGGGCTACAAAGTGAGCTCAAGACCAGACTGAACTGCATAGCGAGACCCTGTCTCAAAAATACAAACAAACATAAAACAAACAAACAAACAAAACTTAGAACAAACAAACAAAAAAACTTAGAATGTGCAGACATTATATAAAATTGGCAACTGGAAAAAAAATAAAATAAATTAAAAAAAAAAAGACAGAATCAAACTGGAAATCTTGAATCAAGCCATCTGAACCTCTCGTCAGTTCTAATGATGACCAGAGAGGGAAAGAGAGCCAAGGCACACAGCAAGCTGAACACGGAGCTGGAACTACCAGGCCTGTCTTCAGTGTCCTGAGTCCAGGAGAGAAAGTGGAGTGCGGCTGAGCAGAGAAAGTGAGGTTTCAAGTCCCCCCGGGACCTCATGCTCATGGGTGCTGATAAAGCGCCAGGAAGCAGGGAGTCCTTCCCAAGCATATTTCTCTCCCTTTGTTCCCAGATGCAGAGGAGCTCTTTGTCCCCAGGGAAGACTGCTCTGAGGTGGTGCAGCCGGGGACCCATCCGCCAGCACTGCTTCCCACCAAGACCAGCGCCCTGGCCAGGAGACCACACTGGGAGTTCGCCCCGAAGAGGTCCGGCTGGGCAGAACGGACAGCTCTGATGTGAAGAAAGTCTTTACCCTCCACCAAGTCAGAGCTTCCCCTGCTAGCTGTCTCCCTCTTCTGCTTGGCCAGCCTGGGCGGCCCGAGGCAAATCTCTGCCAAGTACATGTTGACCTATATCAAGTGTGCGTGGGTCTTCGTGCTCAGTGTGGGCAGGGCAGGGGAGGATATGGGGACAGACAGCACCTTTGGGACCTCAGATCTGGAGTGCATGAGTTATGGAGCTCTCAACAACCCAACAGTTTCTTTGTTTGTTTGTTTGTTTTGGTCCTGGGAATCAAACTCAGGACCTTGCACTTGCCAGGCAGGCCTTGTGCCGCTGAGCTGTATCCCGGCCCAAGCCAACAGCTTTTAACAACGCTCTGTGCACTTAACCGTTTTGTCCAGAGCACCTGCGCGCTCCCTCTAGCAGCCAGTCGGCCACCAAGCAGGGCTGCATCAGTTCAGCCCGTCCGCCCAGCTCGTCTCAGCCCAGCCAACTCCTCGGTTCCTTCGTTCTCTCCCAGGCCAGCCACCCCGTCTATCGATGCTCCCCGAGGTTAAGTGCTCCATCACCCACCCATACTCCATTCATTCTTTATGTCTCCACCGAGCAGATCACCTCAGCCATTCAGTTCAACCTTTCCATCCATCCATTCGGTTCAGCTGAACCGTGCCACCCTTCGTGCCGTCCAGGCACCTCTCCATCTGTTTCCTGCCACCAACTCAAGCACTCTAATGGTTGGCCCTGGTCCCCCTCTTCTTGCTTTTCCTCCACAGCAGTCCCACCTTCCTGCCCCAAAGCCACCTTCTTTCCAAGTAGGGGAGGGCCGGGGATATAGCTCAGCAGCACAGTGTCTGCCTGGCAAGTGCAAGGTCGTGAGTTTGATTCCCAGTACTAAAAAAGAAAAAAAAAAAAACCAACTAGAGGAGAAGGTTGATGTCACCTGCAAGGTCCTGGGCGAGCCAAAGATTTTAGCTGGGCGTACCCAGGGAGGGCAGGAGGAGGCCGTGTGATGCGGATATGTGGTGGTCGTGCTGGGCAGGGGAGAGGAGGTGACCACTGCACCAGGGAACCACTGCCCGACTGGGAGTCTGCTGGATTCGAGTCCTGACACCGACACTGCTTTTCTGGGTGACCTGGAGCGGGTCACTCGCTTTGTCTGGGCCTCAGTAACCTCGTGTGTTGCACAGAGCCGCTCAGGGCCCGCCGAAGGACGTGTCACTCGTTCCTGTTCCTTTGTCCGATGCTCACTTTTGAGGCACCACCACATCCAATCACTGTACCGGATGCTGGGATTTCAGTGCTGGTCAAGGAGACGTGGACCCTGCTGCCCACACGCTTTGAGTCCAAGCAGGGAGGAGTGGGAATCATACGGGGCTGCCAAGTGCCAGCACGGAACAAGGCAGGCCCCCTGTTAGGTGCACTTCACACGGGGCTCAAGGACCATCTTCAAGGTGTGCGCAACCCCAACTACAGGCCGATGAGGCGCGCGAACGCTCCGGCCCTGGTGCAGTGAGTATGCGCCCGGAGATGGCCGGACTCATGACGACTGCTTCCCGCGCACACGCCCACCGTGGGCCCGGACTTCCCAAGGTGCTAGTGGTGGTGATGTTCTTTCCTCTCAAAGAACTTCAAACGTCTGGAGAGCAGCTGTGCCAAAGTGTGCTATGAACGCCGAGGGCTTTGGGAATTCTTAAAAGAACTTCCTGGAAGAGCTGGAATTTGACAGGTGCCTTGCAGGGCGGGCTTACGGGAGCGGAAGGCCTTGTGGTCCTTCAGCAACAGGAGCAAAGGCAAGGGAGCGTGTGTCCCTCACAGGAGAGCGCGGAGACTCAGCTTTCACACTGCGAGCTGCGGAGCAGGCCGGGGAGCAGAGGGGCCCGCGCAGGAGCCCAGCGCCACCGTCAGGATGCGCTGTTTCCCTGAACCTAAAATGCCACGCTCCGTGGGAACCTGGTATCCGTTCAATAATATCCTCAGTTATTGTGGGCTGATCACATCTGCAATCTCCTGAATGAGTATATGGTGAAGGCTAAATAAAAAGAGGCAAATGGAATGGTTTCAGAGCTCCAGGAGGGTCAAAGCCCTGTCACAGAATTGTAGATTTTCTCGGGGCTAAGACCATGACCTTCTCTGGGTGGCCCATATTTATCTGGCTATCAGAAGAAGGGAGGGGAGTACTCAAGAAGGGCACACTCACTCAAGGATTTCTCCACGTAAGGTATTAAATCAATCCTTAATAAGGTTTATGTTAATCCACCCAGGAGTGAGATGCCTGAAGCTATAGTCTTTATCTAGTTGAGCCCGGATTCACGTATCCTTTGCTGTGATCTTGTCTTATCCTTTGAGGCTTTCTGGCTTCATCTGCCATTACAGGCTTTAGTAGGGATTAGAGACACCCAGAGGTTCACTTACTACGAGTCCATCACCCACTTCCAGACAAGGGGCCGAGGCTTTGGACAGATTCACAAGTAAACACAAAAAGCCAGTTGGCTAATTTAAGTCCTGCTCTGGGCTGCTTCATAGTGGTCTCCATCAGCCCAGTCTCCGGGTGGCTGAGCCAGGGCAGCGGGAGCCCCCTGCCTTCACCTCCCTTCCCCCCCTGTGACTGGCCCATGCCTGCCCAGGCCAGGATGTCACGCAGGAAACTCAGAGGCCTCTGGGGATCATTCTTCCACCTGGCAGGAGTGGAAACTGAGATCCGAGGGGAGGAGAAAGACGCTTGGGAGCCCTGTGGCTTGGCCAGGCCAGTGTCCTCCCACGTGTGAAATATCAGAAAGTTCTCACTTAGAGAATCAGAACACACACACACACACACACACACACACATACACACACGAAAGAATCAGTGGTCTGTGTCCCCGTCCCCCGCCGTGTCAGTGTTTCCCAAACCCGGTGTTAGTGGAATGAGCACTTCACCTGCGGTGGGACAAACCAAGCACTCGTGACACTCCTTTAGAACCAGAGGACCACGCACCACCTCAGGAGGTGCTGTTCTGAGCCGAGTTACCTCCGAGTGCTTCTGGAGCAGGGAAGGGGACCCCAGCTACTCTCCAGGGTCTGAGAGGCATAAAGGTTTTGGCAGAGAACCCGGCCTCCAAGGAGCTTTGACACCAAGTGTCACCACGCATGACCTGGGACGAGTCCCTTCCCCTTTGCCTGAAGGGCTACCTGGTGCCTGGGCCAGAGATGGCCCCTGGAACAGCTAAGGGACAGTTACTTCGTGTCACCTGCAGCAGGGCCAACTCCCCATGCTAGCCAGCGGGGCAAAGTGACCCACCTCAAGGCCCAGGTCCAGCAGCGGCTGAGAGCACCTCGTGTGCGGTAAACGTGGGGGCTGGGCTGCTGGCGTCCCCAGGTCTGCAGGGCCACCAACCTGCTGGGCACAGCCTCTCGGCTGCTGGCAATCCTGCACAGAGCAGGAGGCACGGCCCAGTGGGTACCACGGGCACCGCAAGGTTCCTTTCGTGCAGGCTGTGTCCCCAGCAGAAGCCTTCTCACTCACCCGTGCATTCTCCCACCCCAGACTGTCCCCTCACCCTCAGCAGCCCTCCACCCTCACCCTTCAGTCCAGCCTGCACCTCACCCTGTTCCACCTCTGGTCTGGGAGCCGAGAGGGGAGCCCGGAAAGGTTGAGGGGCCCCAGGCCTCAGAATTTATTCCTTAACGGTCCTGATCACCTCTTTCTTCTCCCAGGAAAAGCAGACACAGAAACAAGGTACTTCGAGTTGATTTCAGCTTCCACAGCTTGCCTGCCCCGAGTAAGGGTCTGACCACGGTTTATTTCTGTCCACCACAGGCTGCGCGGGGGAAACCCCTGCTCCCCAGCCCTGCCCCTTTCGGCTAGCAGGTGCTTCCTCAAGTGCGTTCTGCAGCCGGAGGCAGTTTGGCAGGTGCTCCATACTCTGCCCCCTGCGTGAAAATTCGCAGGGCGCGGTAGCACATGAAAGGCTGCAGAGTCCCACAGACTGCAGATCTGCCTTGCTTTGGAAAAGCTGCATGAAAAACGACACGTGTGCTTCACCCCAGGGCTGTCCTCAGGCTTCGTGGAGAAGGCCCGGCCATGGCCGGAAAAGCGTCTCTGCATCCCAGCCTCTTGGTCCCCCTGCTCCCCGGGGAGGTGGAGAAACATGCTCGCAGGAACGTCTGGAGCTAAAGGGGCAGAGGCTGCGTCCAGGGCCCTGGGAAAGGCGGGTGGATGCTGACCCCTGCAGGGCAGCCACAGCGAACTCGGACCGGCTCCCTGCGAGCCGGTTCAGGGCTCATGCCGACGCTGGGCCTTAGCTCTGGTGATCTCCCTTTGCTCCGCTGCTGAGGACAAGAGCCTGCTTCAAGGACCGTTGAGGATTATGGGAGAGAGGGCTGTGCAAAAGCATCTCACAGACAGGCTCCGCGTAGGGCGAGCTTCCTGAGAAGAGCCTGAGGTCCACAGGCTGGCTGGCTGGGCCTGCTGAGGTCTCTCGCTGCAGCTCCCAAGCCCGTGTGTGAGTGTGAGTGTGAGTGTGTGTGTCATCCTGGGGACCGAGCTACAACCCCACACCTTTTTATTGTGAGGCAGGGTCTAGCTCAATTGCCCACGCTGGGCTTGACTTGCAATTTTCCTGCCTCAGCCTCCCAGAGTGTGGAGATTTTAGGTATGCACTACATGCCTGGATTGCAGTCACCCTTTTTCACAGATGGGGAAGCCGAGGGCCATGGGAGCCCTGGATGGCCGGAGGATAAAGGCAGACAGCAGAGAGAGCGGGTTGGGGTGGGGTAGGTAGAGAAGGGCCTCGTCACAGACTGATGTCCCCGGAGCCCAGGAGAAGGAAAAGAGCAACAGGGTCAGCCATTCTGACTCTGGCGTCTGCTCCCCACTCCTGTTTCCACTTCTGTTCAGGGACGAGGTTCCTGCTCGGCCTGTTGAGGGTCCTCAGACCCCCGAACGTGGCCCCTGAGACTGAAGGACCTGGAGCGCCGGCCCAGCCGCTCCCTGGCCCGGTCTGAGGCATGAGCTATGTCCGGCCCCCAGCTGCAGCCTGACCCTCAGTCAGGCCTGGAATTGGACACTGCCGCGACTCGAGCCACCCAACAGCGACCTTAACAGTCTCAGAGCGAGGTAAACCGAGGCTGGGAAAGACCAGGCTAGAACTGAGCTGGCAGCAAGGCTGCACCCTGGGGCCCGGGCGGGCTCTTTCTCAGGGCCTCGGGAGAAGCCTCAGTTTCCCTGATCTGGGTGACAGAGCGGGAGGCAGGGTGCTCCTCTTGCGTGTTCCCAGGGCCTGCAAAGCCCACGGGGTGATCCTCGGGACCCCAGGGCCAGGGCTCTTGGGGCGCACACCTGGACTTGCAGCTCACCGTGCCCTCGCGCCTTCCTGGGAAGAGAACCCAGAGGTTCTCGCGTCTTCTCCGAGAGCCTCGGTGGGGTTGGAACCACAGGGCCCGCAGAGGGCCCGGCCCAGCCGCCCCCTAGGTGGCCAGGAAGGAGACCTCCGTGGGGGTGACAGAGGCCAGGGGGAAGGCGGACGAGGCGTCCGCCCCGAGGACCCGGTACAGCAGCTCCTCCTTCTCCTGCTGCAGCTGCCGCCGTATCTGCGACTCCTTCTCCAGGGCCTCGCGGGCCAGAAGCAGGTCCTCCGAGAGCTGCCTGCAGTGCAGACAGAGGCCGGGGCTGCTGCAGGGACTCAGCCTTGCTCCAGGCCAGCAGCCTCCTCGGGGTCCCCAGCCTGCCCGTGTCACTGTCATTCCTGGGGACGGGCTCGAGGTGCCTGTGACCGCTCAGGGCTGCTGCAGACCTCTGTCCGTGACATCCCAGACGGGTCATTTGCTGTCACTGAATTTCAGTTTCCTCGTTTGTAAGGTGAGAAGGACACCCGGGGACCTACCCCTTGGAATCATCGTGGGGAGTCCAGGAGTGGTGCGATCTCTCGGTTACTCACCCGCAGAGCCCTCAGAACTGCTTCACCCCACCTAGGCCCGTTTAGCCCCACACTTCCTGCTTCCTCCCCCTCTTCCCAGGAGCCCATGGAGGCAGCAGCAACAGACTCAGATAGCGGCCGCGATTCCGGCTGATCAGGTCCACGGGGTTTCCGGACTCCCAAGGAAAGGGGAACCACATTTCCTGTCAGCCCACCCCCAGGCTCTTAGAGACCCTCCCAGCTCAGGAGCTTGACCACAGGGGGCGGGAGGGCGGAAAGGAGGCAGGACGGCTACCTGGACACCACCACCTGGTTCTGGGCTTGGACGTGCAGGTCCTCATTCTCCTGTTGCAGGGTTGTGATCTTTTCCTCTAACATCAGATTTTTTTCTTTCTGTAACAAACCAGAATGAGCTCAGAAAGCCGCCAAACTCACACGGCCCAGCGCCTGCTGTCACCTCCCTCGTGTCCAGGGTCCCCCAAGCACGGGTTCATCCTTGCCTGGACGCTGCGTTTCACGGAACAGTGAGAGAACCTGTGATAAAGCTACAGAGCTAAAGCGGGCGGCCATCGTTTAATTTGGCTACAGAGAGATGTGAAAATGAACACAGCCGTTACCCTCACCCATCACCATCCGCTTATAGAAGAAAGCGTATTGTTCTTGGCCTCCAAAAATCAAAAGGACACAGTCTATGTAAACAAAATTATGTTGTGCATTCCCACAAGGATGGCTCCACAGAATTTACAGGGAACGTCTGACATGGTTTGGGGATAGGTCTACACAGGGGACCAGGGAACCTTCCAGAGCAATGCAGTCGGTTTGGACTCAGCCCCAGGTTTCTGAGGCTTCTGTCTGCAGACAAAGCCACCTGTCCTCAGCGCCCGCCTGGCTTGTGACGGCTGCCAGCCTCTCCTGGTCAGCCAGGCTACCTGTCCGAGTTACAGCGGCGTGAGTGCCAGTAAAGGCACAGGACCGACGACCAGGAGCCACTGCCCAGCCCAGCGGGCACGGACTGGCCTCGGCACACAGGCCGGTGGAAGCTGCGGTGCCCGGGTGGGAGTGGGGCTCCTTCGCACACTTTCACAAGGGAAACGCCCAGAAAGCAGAGGCCCCTGCGGCACTCCCGCGCTTGCAGCCACGGACCACGGTTTCCATGAGGGTCAGCCGCTTGTCCAGCTCGCGGATCCGCTCACTCTTCATCTCGATGACGAAGTGCAAGCTCTCCAGCTCCTGCTCCCAGAACTGGTTGGGGCTCCCGTAGTCCTAGGCAGGGAGGCGGAGGGACCTCGTGAGACCCTCAGGGAGAGAAGGGCACGGGCTGCCTCCCTTCTCCCCACTCTGCCACCACCAGCTCGCTGACTTTCCGAAGACGCCACCCCCTCTTGGCTCCCGGTGAGCGTTTTATCCCGGTGACCCTTACGGCTGCCCTAGCACTTTCCCAGGTAAGGCGGCTGCCTTTCACAGGCTGGGTCCTGTGCTACACGGCAGGTTTGCTGTGTGCACCTAGATCTCGCTGGATCCAGGGGCTGGCGCCTTTCCCACCCATCTGCCTGTGCCGTGCCTTCCTCCCCGTCAGGAAATGACGCTCTGGCTCCAGGCCCCTCTGGAAGGAGTCAGCGCTGAGACTTGGCCTTGCCGAGGTGCCGGCCTTTCCCACCGCCCAGGAGCGAAGGCCCTACCTGGATGTGCTTCCTGTAGTCTCGGGTCAGAACGGACTCCTCCACCCTCCTCATCTTGGCCTGGAAGGCCTCCAGCTGGGAGGTCAGGGCTGCTATGGTGTCCTGCAGAAGGCAGCAGGAGGAGGGGACCAAAGTCTGGTGGGAAAGGTGGAGTGCACCACGTCCCAGGGCGGTGGGGGGAGGTTTGGGCCCTTCCGTCTGTCTGTGTCTGCTCCACACGATCGCTCAGGGGTAGTCTCCGTCAGCCCCTGCCTGCCGGTCCCCGCCCCGCCTCTTGTCCTCAAGGGCTGGAGTTTTCCTTGCCTCATCTCCCAGCTCCGTCTCCGCACTCTCTCCTGCAGCCTGGCCTCTCGGCTCTGCACAAGTTCGTGCTCCGCTCTGAACGCTTCCCTGCTCAGACGGCCTCCTCTTCAGCCCTGACCACTCCCTCCGGATCAAGCACAACCCTTTCTCGTGGCTCCCGGGCTCCCGCTGGCCTCACCCGCCTCTGCAGCTGCTCCCTCCCTGCCCTCAGACTCCGCATCCTGGGCATCTGGACTTGCCCCAGATCCTCGCTATTTTATACTTTCCCCCTCTTTTCTCCAGGTTTTAGGATAAACTGCTTTCTTCTGCTCAGGGCATTTTTCCTACCCTTCTTTACTGAAAAATTCTAACCCATCTTTCAGGTTCCAGCTTAGCTCTCGTTCCTCTGGGAAATATCCCCTGGGCAGCCGTGCTGAGCTGAATGCCTCCTTTCACGTCCCCACGGGTCCCTGGCCAGTCTAGTCATGTGATCTCCAATATCCTCCCAGCAGACCTTGCAACAACTGGGCAAACCCAACTGCAAATCAAGTCCTCTTGAGCAAGTGATGGTCTGGTCACTGCATTAGGGGGCTTTGGGACGTGCGGCAGGTGGCCACCTCGCCCCTGTCTGCTAGAGTCCATCGGTTTTGGCTGCTTTGGGGCTCCATGCTGCTTTTCTTTTTTTTGTTTTTTTGTTTTTTTTCCGGTACCGGGAATCAAACTCACGACCTTGCACTTGCCAGGCAGGCGCTGTGCTGCTGAACTAAATCCCCAGCCCTTTCCATGCTGCTTTTCTGCCAAGCCTGAGGCTGGTGTTGCTCACTCATCTTACCTGAAGGGCAGCTTTGGCCTCCTGGAAGGAGCGGGTGAGGGCTTCTTTCTCCTGTTCGTGTGATGCCCGCAGGACTGTGGGGAGAGGAGATCTCCATGAGCCCAGGTGGGTTTCCCCCACAGTCTTCTGGGAAACTCGTGGAGGGACAGAAGGGCAGAGAGGATCGCCTGGGGCCCACATGGCCAGGAGTTGGGGTGGGTCTTACTCATCCTTCTGTCTCCCAGGCTAGCAGGGGAGCCGTGCCAGAAACACTAGGTGTTCAACAAAAGCTCAGGGAATGGAGATAAACTATGTCCCGCGAGACAAACGACAGCTGCGAACCTACCAGGCTGTGGGTGCCGCCCACACCTCCCTGAGGCCCACATCCCGAGACCCTGCAGCAAGCTCGTCTGCCTCATGCGTCACACCATGGAGATGCCTCCGCTGAAATCACATGACCATGAAACGTCCCTGTCACCGCAGAGGACAGAGCTATGGTGAGCACATTCGACCTGTGCCAGGAAATTCACCTCAACTGGCTCTGCTTCTCCAAAACAGGGGCCTTGAGAAGATCACACCACACATCTAAAAGTCCTGCTGCCTCGACGGTGAAACGGGGTCAGTGCGCTTGTCCTGACTGTCTCAAGGGGAGACTCCAGGGTCACATGAGCGGAGGACGTGTAAGGCTTCCAGCTGGGGCCGTGCTGTTCAGGGCCGGAGCTGCTTGTCATTCCCCGAGTTCGTAGCTGTTTATTATCCCGTGGTGCCCTTTGGAAAATTCCAACCTTGTCTCAATTGAGAGAAGACAGCAGAGACAGGGCCAATCAGTGGCCAGGGAGAGAAGTAGAATAGAGAGGGCAGGAGAGTTTAACACAGCTAAAGAAGCTAGTCATTGCGGTACAGGCCTGTAATTCCAGCCCTACGAGAGGCTGAGGAGGTAGGATCACAGGTTCGAGCCCAGCCTGGGCAACTTAGTGACTTACTGAGACCCTGTCTCAAAATAGAAAATAAAAAAAAAAAAAAGCGACCGGGTATTCTCAGTAACACACACACACACACACACACACACACACACACACACACACACACACACGTATGCATGTGTGTGCAGTCAAAGGGCCCATGGCTGGGTGGGTAGTAGTAATACGGAAAAGAATGTACAGTGATATAAACGTGATGGAGTTATCAAAAACTACATCCTTAATTTTAGAAAACAATGGGCCTGTTTGTTAATTTGCCTATCAAGACCAGCTGTGGTTCCAGGTAAGACAGGAAGGACTTCGTCCACTCTTCTGATCCCAGATAGCTACAATCTGGATGGAACGGGAGGAAGTGCAGGAAGACAAAGTCTTGGCAAATGAGCAGGAGCGACTCAGAAGAGCCAAAAGGAAATTTTAGAAGTAAAAGAATTATTAATGCAACGAAAAACTCACCGAGCAGCAGCATCAGCTGCATGGAGATAATCTAAGAGAGACAGTGAACCTAAAGATAGATCAATAGAAACTACCCATTCTGACAACATAGAGGGGAAAATAATGGAATAAAAAGGAATGAACAGGCTCTTAGGGACCTGTAGATAGTCCTAAAATGTCTTAACATCTGTATCATCAGAGTTGAAAAGAGGAGAAAGAGCGCATTTCAGAAAGATTATTGAGGGCTGGGTGTGGTGGCCCACATGCCTGTAATCCCAGCACTTGAGAGGCTGAGGCAGGAAGATTGCTGCAAGTTTGAGACCAGCCTGGGCTACAAAGTGAGCTCAAGGCCAGCCTGAACTGCATAGCGAGACCCTGTCCCAAAAAGACAAAAGAAAAAAAAGAAAAGATGTTCGACAGTCATTATTAAAATGCAGACTAAACCCACAGGGAGAGTCGCCCCATAACCCGGACTAAATAAAGACACCGACAACTGCAAGTGTGGGCAACAAGGCACGTAGGCCTCCGTCACTGCGGGTGCTGAAGGGGGGTCGCCCTGGACGGCAGACAGCCACGTCTCATTACGCTAGTGGTGTATTTACTGTGTGATCTAGCGGTCACTCCCGCGCAGTCACTCCGGAGAGATGGACACGTTGGTGACCCCAAAACCTGTGCGTGGGGGCCTAGAACAGCTCTGTTCAGTCACCTCAACTGGGAATGACGCCCTGCGGCAAGTCAAGGAGCTGACTGGGAACTCCGCTCAGCAATAAAGAAGAGCGAGAGACCGCGGGTGCTCAACGGCTCCCGATGAGCGGGAGAAGCCCGCGCAGACGCGTTGTGTCTGTGTAAGGGCGCCCAAGGACAAAGTTGTAATTGTGGAAAACACCAGGCGCGCCACAGCCTGGGGACAAGACGAACACGAGAGCATGGAGGCCCTGGGGTGGCAGAGCTGTTTTATGTCCTGATTATGGAGATGGTCACACAAAACCACATGTGGGTTAGAACTGGTTTTTCCCTCGTGCTGGAGGTTGAACCCAGAGCCTTCTGCACACTGGCCAAGTGCGCTCCGCCGAGCTATAGCTCAAGCCTTTTCTATTTTTACTATTTTTTTTTTAATTTCAAGACAGGGTCTCACTAAGTTGCCCAGCCAGGCCTTGAACTTGTATCCCTCCTGCCTCAGCCTCTCAAGTTGCTGAGATTATAGGTGTGTGTCACCGTGCGTGGCTGCACGTTAGAATTTATAGAACTGTGTGCACACATAGATAATTTAAGATGCAAAAAATTGAAACAAAAATAGAAGATGAAAGACAACAAAGGATCACGGAGTATGGAAAGTCACCACCAGGCTTTCCCAGTTACTTCCGTGTCTTCCCAGGAGTAAATACAGTCTCACATATTTCCCGCAAGCTGTTCATTCCTTCATTCAATACATACTTGCTCAGTGCTTATTATGCTGCCAGTTCGAAAATAACTATAAAGGAATCTGACAAAGGAGGACAGGTACTCTCCTTTGGGTTTTATAGCAGGAAAAGTCTCATGAACATTTTTATAGTGATAAAAATAATACCGAAGTTTAGAGAATAAGTTTCTTTCCCCACAGACCCTTGTGAAGTAGAGAAGATGGATTTTAGAGAGAAACGGGACTGAGTGTCAAGAAGGTAAGGGACAGGCTGAGTTGCTAACGGCTGTGTTAGTGTCACAGCGCGGCTCTGGAAATTCTCCGGCAAGGGGCTTTAACTCTATTTCAAAATGTTCGCTGCTCGTGTTGCAATATACTTCGAGATTCCTAAAATTGCTCAGACCTCTGTTCCAGTTCCTCTCCTACAGAGCCTCTGCAGCTCTACTGAGAAATGTGGGCATAACTTTATGCAAAAGATGTTTACACCCGTGTTGCAAAGCTAGAATGGAGATGTCCAGACTCACAGGAAATAAGCAAACCTTGTATGTTACAGTCTAGCCCTTCTGCACTTTGATACAATGTTAAATGAAAAGATCAAGATATAATTTTTTTTTTTTTTTGGTCTTTTTGAGACAGGGTCTTGCTATGCAGTTCAGGTTGGGCTTAAGCTCTCTTTGTAGCCCAGACTTGTCTCGAACTCGAAATGATCCTCCTGCCTCAGCCTCCTGGGTGCTGGGATTACAGGTGTGCACCACCAGGCTCAGTTTAGGATATAAAATATCGCATGTAAAATAATCATGACTCCTGCTGGGCGTGGTGGCACACACCTGTACTCCCAGCACTCAGGAGGCTGAGGCAGGAGGATCTTTGCAAGTTCGAGACCAGCCTGGGCTACAAAGTGAGCTCAAGGCCAGCCTGAACTGCATAGTGAGACCGTGTCTCAAAAAGACCAAAAAAAAAAAAAAAATCATGGCTGTGTTTTTAAAAAGATAAATACTATGTTTCCTGGAAAATAAGACCCCTCTGGGTAATAGTCCACCTTGAAAATTAGAGGTCAAAAACACCAGCCCCGTCAGCCTGTACCGGCCTCCCCTGCCTTACAGAGCAGACACTGAGGCAGAAAACAGGGATGCAAGTACGGCAGGGATAGGCTGGCTGGGTCTGACGGTTTTGATCTCTAGTTTTCAAGACTGATTATTTTCCAGCTGGTTCTTATTTTCAGGGAAACAGGGTTAATTCTGGGGAAAAATCATACAAATACTGACGATGCAAGGAAAAATCATTTTCAGGGTTAACTTCAGTATCGCCAAAATATATACGGCAGCCTCCAAGGAAGGTGCACGGACGGGCAAGGAGCACACGGAGAGATGCTCAGCCATATCCGTCATCGTGGAAGTGCAGATTAAAACCGTGATGACCGCTTCACACACGTGTGCGACAGTGACTTTGGAAAATAAATGTCGATGAGGACACGGAGCAGTCAGGACCCACACCCGGCTGGTGGGAGCACAAAGCTATACAATCACTATGGGAAACAGCTCGGTGGTTCCTCAAAGGGTGAGGTACAGCTGCTCTTCGCTGGTGTACACCTGGGGACCTGAAGTCAGCAGGCAAGCGGGCGTCTGCAGGCGCTGCTCAGAGGGGGAGAGGGTGGAGGTGGCTTGATGCGCATCAACAGAGCATGGTCCATGCAGCGGAATATTACTCAGCCATAAAAAGGAATGGGGTGCAGATGCATGCTGAGATACGGATGGGCCCTGGGAACCTCACGCTAGGGAAAGGAAACTGGATGCGAAGGCCACAGGTCTTACAATTCTATTTCAGGGGTGCCCGGAGTGGATGGGGTGCAGCGACAGCAGATTCATGGTGGCCAGGGGCTGGCGGGAGGATGAGAAGCGACAACTTGGTGAGAGTATGCTGCCCTAGGGTGAGGAAGATGTCCTGGAACTGGGCTGTAAGCGAAGGCACTGCAGATGTGCTAGTGTCGCTAATGGTAAATATTATAGCTGTTTGACCAGCGGGAAAAATGTGTATACGCAAGTTTAGCCCTCCTGATTCTACCTGGAAAGTACTCTAGAAATATAATTAGGAATATGACAAAGATTTTACAAAATAGAGTTCACTGTCCAAGAGTCACTGTTATTATAAACAGTGGCAGAGATGTTATAAACAATAGCAGGAACACTGAAATGACCTACCCGTTACCCAAGGGGACTCTTCAATGAATGAAGATATAAATGGGAATGCTAGAGTTACTAGAAGTTCTAGAAGAGCTCAATGACACGGTCCTCACGGAATTCAAAGTGGAAAGGTAAAAGACCAATTTGTGTGTGTAGGTGTACATTCTACACATTTACAGAGAAAAAGACACCGAGGGGTCTGTATCCAAGCGGTAACTAGTAAAAATCATGAATGCTGATAGTTATCCACCAAGCATTCTGCACCGTTCCACATCCTCTCTCGCCTGTCTGTCATGACACTGTTGAGTGTTCATTAATACCTGTGAGGCAGACGAAATAAGTCTTTTACAGCTATACAGCTGAGAATAGCAGAGCCGGCTGGACTCACAGCCAGGGACCGCGGCTCTGGAGAACAGCCCTTCACCTCTACACTACAGGATCTTTTCATTTAATTCATAATTCTCAGTGTTTTGTGATGACCACAGTTGGTGATGTAAGAGGAAAGAGTTATTTATCAAAATCCTCAATATAACTAAATGTTAACCTTGTGGGGGTGGAGTGTGGGTACTTAACAATTCTCCTATTTATCTAGGCTTTGGACTATTCTTTAATGCATAAGCACTGCTTTAAAAAAATGTCAAATAAGGTAAACCAACATGGTGCTGGTTTTGTTTTGTTTTTGTCCTGGGAATGAACCTAGGGCCTCTGCCCTGAGCTACACCTCCAGCCTTTTAGTTTTTATTTTGAGATGGGATCTCTCTAAGTCACTCAATTGTCCAGGCTGGGCTCATACTTGTGATCCTCCTGCCTCAGCCTCCCAGAGTGCTCGGATTACAGGCGAGCACCACCACATGTGGCTTGGTGCCAGACTTTTAAAGCTGTGGCCCTGGAAGAAAATTCCACCACCCTCCTGGGGCCAAGGGAGTTCCTGCGAACTCCAGCTGTGATGGAGCCAGTGGGACTGCTGAGTTGCGGAGGAAGGGAAAGGGCTGGTGTTGGCCGGGGCGCCACTTCCGTCTCACCTCGCAGGGCCTCCTCTCGCTGTCCCTCCAGGACGCTGCGCTGCTCCTCCAGCCTCTCCAGGAGCTCCAGCTCCCTCGCCTTCTCCACCTGGGGGCAGAAGGCCCGAGGCAGTGAGATTTCAGAGCTCAGCCGGGAGGCTCAGCCCCTCAGGAGAGCCCGGACCTCAGCAATCGGAGCCCACACCTGGCTGACCGGTGGGCAAGACGGACAGAGGGACGGAAGGACAGAGGCGTGGCAGGTGTGGCAGACTTTGCCCTGCTGGGCTGAGAAAGGTTCCCAGAGAATGACCCGGCTACCAAGGAACTTGGCGGCAGGGGGAAGCCCCGCCCCCGAGCTCCTCTGTCGCTGTCCCCCAGGGCAGGCCTCACGGGCACCTGTGCCTCCATTCTCACCGCCCCAAACTGGAGCTGTTCCTGAGCCCTGCACTGCCTGCAAGGGTACAGGCGAGGGCTGCCCCGGAGCCACGGCCCACGGAAGGGGTTCCAGCCCCGCGCGTCCTGAGCTCCTGCTGCTGAGGCAGGATCCCACGGAGGACCCCGGGGACCCGCGAGGTCTCAAGCCTAAGCGTTCCCCTGGCAAAGGTCAGGGCCGGACCACATCAGGAGGTCACCACCAAGCCCAAGCTGTGTGTCTGAATAAGGTGTCCGAGCAAACAACGTTGTGTTGTGTTGGGGGCTGGAGGTCAGGTGCTCCAGACCTGAGCACCCCGCGCCCCTCAGAGAACCCTGCAGCTCCCTTCCACACGCAGCTCGCCCTCGGCAGTCTGGTCCACAGGAAAACCTTCTGGTAACAAACAGCCGCACAGTTTAGCAGGGCTGTGTTCCTAACTACAGAGTCTTTTTTTTTTTTCTTTTTTTGGTACCAGGCATTGAACTCAGGACCTCGCACTTGCCAGGCAGGCACTTGTGACACCGAGCTACATCCCCAGCCCTACAGAGTCATTTTTAAAAAGAGACTTTGCGTTTCAGGATTTTGAAGGTTCATGCCGAGTGTGTTTCACACATGCGATTAAAGGGAACGAGGAAGAGGATGTGGAGCAGACTTTGCACCCCACCTTTAGAGCTCCCCTGCTGGGGGAGGAAACTGAGGCGCAGAAGGGGAGGCCGGGTGGCAGAGCTGGGTCGAGGAAGATGAAATCCCGGCTGCGCCTGCAGGGAGGGCACATTGCGGCCCATGTGAGCCGGGAACACCCTCAGCCTCCCTTGTCTTCTGCAGCCCAGATGTCCGAGGAGTCCGGCGGCGGGCGGAGTCCTTCCCTCTTCACCCTCAAATCATGTTCTGCGGTCCTGGGAACTGAATCCTGGGACCTGGCACATGCTCGGCAGAGGCTGTATCACTGAGCTACGCTCCACCCTTTTCATTTTTTATTTTGAGACAGGGTCCTGTTAGGTTGCCTAGGCTGACTACCTTGAACTTGTGACCCTTCAGCTTTAGCGTACGTAACACATATACATATACATGCATATGTTTTTTTTTTTAGATAGGGTCTCACTAAGGAGCCCTAGCTGACCTTGAACTTGTGGTTCTCCTGCCTCAGCCTCCCAAGTGCTGGGATTACAGGCCTGCACCACCCCTCGAGGGTCTTAAACAAGCCATCACACTCAGCCAGAAGGGACGCTGGTGTTTCCTTCACAGCTCGTCAGCCTGCCCTAGTTTGGTGCCCCACCCAAACACACGGTGGCCCTGAAGGCGGCGAGCCCAGCAGCACCCGCACTCCGGCTCTTCTCAGCTGGAATGTCGGCTTGCGGAGAGCGGCTGCCCGCTCCGCTCGTGGTAGACCAGGTGTCTGGCTTGGAGTGACCAGAGATAAACACGTGTGCAGCGGATCAAGGGTTCCTTCCTGGCAAGAAATGCTTATGACACCGAACCAAAATCGCCAGGAAGCACAAGGGGAAAGAGTGCGGCGGGCGCGGGCCTACCTGCTGGGCCCGCTTCTCCTGCTCCGTGTGCTGCTGCAGCAGCCTGGCGATGTCCTCCTGGTGCTGCTCGGCCTCCTCCGCCCCGCTCGGCGGGAGAGTCGCGGCTGCGGGGAGAGAGCAAAACGCTGGAGCACCGCGGAGTGCAGGCCGGGCGGGGAGTGTGGGAGCCGCAGCGAAGGATGTGAGCCCCGGACACTCAGGGACCATCCCAGAGGGCCCCCAACCCGTCCTGCTTCAAGGCAGGGGCCGGTGGTCTCTGCAGCCTCCAGCACCCGGGAGCTCTGGGGCAGCCAGGCAGAGGGGGCTCGATTTGCTCCCACCAACATCTGCACCAGAAAATAGTTCCTGAGAATCATAACTGGGAAGATTTTCCTTGATAACACGGATTTAACCTTTTTCTGAAAAATTTCAGAGTTGGCAATACACGCCCTTATGTCAGCCTGGGCTGGAGCCGCCGGTCAGCTGCAGCTCTTGGGCCAGGACATGGCTCTGCAGAGGCCGCCGTCTTCAGGTTCCCCCGCTCAGGATGTGTGGAACGCGCCACCCGGTCCTGTGCATCAGCTGCCTGGCCTGAGGGCGCATCGTGGTGACCCCTCACTTTCAGCACTGCACCCCCAGCTGCGTGCAGAGGGGCTGCCTGAGACCAGGGAGGAGGCTTCCCTGGGGTGCCCACCCGACCTCTGCCGCCAGCAGCAGCTGGGGCTGACAGAGGCGGCATGGGCCCTGCCTGGGCCTCAGGCACCTGCATGCACTCAGGAAAGGCATGGTGCCCAGCTCGTGGGGTGCCTGGATTGTTCAGTCAGAAAACAATGACAGTAAAAGTAACAAAAGCAGGTACGGAGCCCTGGGGGTGAGCCCTGCCCAGCACGGCTCCAGTGCCCCACTAAGCCTCCCACACCCACGGTGGGGTGCACCGTGACCACCCCAGAGCACCCTGAGGCCACTGAGGCAGGCACAGACGGCCCGCCCCCTCCCAGGATCACCCAGGTCTCAATCGGGGCGGCGGGGACCCCGACTCCTAACTGTTCCCAATCCGCCTGCCTAACGCTCCTAACGTCCACCTCCTTCTGCCGCTTGCAACAGAAAGCACCGCGGTCGCTCACAGCAGAGGCGCTGAGTCCCCGGTCTCCGCCGTTCATTAAGTGCTTTCCCCAGCTGGCCAGCCGGGCTCATCACCGCCATGAGCGGCGGGCGCTGCTGCCGCGAGCTTCGCTGTTGTCCCGGCGATGTCCTGGGCAGGGTCTGGCCAAGGTGGCTGGAAGTAAGGACTAGGAAGCCTGCCCCATGGTCAGCCCCTCTGGACAGAGCGGGGAGCTGGTGTCGCTCAACCCTGGGCTCCGGGGAGTGACCGTCAGAGGTGGACGGCAATGGCTGTGACCAGGGAGCCAGCCGCTCCCCAGTCCCCCGGCTCAGCATAGGTCCAGGGGGTCGGGACCACACTGGCCCAGCAGGGGAGAGGCCTATTGAAAAAATCCGTTTAAAATGCGGGTCCTCAGCCCACTGCCGAGATTCTTCCCGAGTCAATCTGTGGCAGGCCCCGGGGTCTGCGTCTTTGACGTTGGCCAGGGAATCTTTATATACGATTGGAGAGCCTCCAAATTCGGATCCACCTGCTTCTCTGGGGCTTGAACCTGATCTACGGCAATATCACAGGCAGCGTCCAGGCTGTAATCCAACACCTCTGAGAGAGACACTCATTCTATTACCAGGCAGCCCGGAGCCCGGGAGACCAGCGGCCACACAAGCAGTTCTTTGAGACCAGGCTGAACTCGGTCTGCGCACCGTTGCTGCCTCAAGGGCCTGGTACCACCCTCTGCGGCACCCGGAACAAAGCTCATCTTCCTTCTCCCCCGGGCCGCTTCAGACCCTCGGAGGACAGCGTGGTTTTAAGGTAACATCTTCCTTCTGGGTGGACCATCCTCCGTTCCCTCACCCATTCCCTGCAGGACATAATATTTTCCGGATTTTTCACTAGTCTGATTTCTCTCTGCAGTACTTCCTCCATTTTTTCTGAATCCCTCAGAAATACTTTCCAGAAATAGGCACAGCACGCTAAGTATGGAACTGGCAGCTCAGAATGAGGAGGTCCAGGTCAAGGTTATCACCTCCACGGTCTTGGACAAGATGCTCCTGTTAATGTAACCTACCTGAGATCTCATGGGCTCTTGAGCTACATTGTTTTGTTGGTTACAAGGTAGGGTATGGGGTTGGCCACTCACCTGCATCCTTGCTAAGGGGACCCAGTTCCTGTGGCTCTGGCTTGGGTGGCTGCTCTTGTCCTCGGTGCCGCTGGAAGAGATGATTGACAGATGAGCAGAGGCTGGTGGGGTCAGAACTTGGTCAAGGTAGCTCAGGCCTCACCCCGCCTTGGCCACACCGGCTGAGTCTGACAGAAGGAGAAACTCGAAGAAAGGGCTTTCTGGGTCACAACCCCGTGCCAGCCGATACTAAGATGTCATAGAGGAACAATATTTTAAGTTAATTGTCAGCCAAGCATGGTGGCGCACCACTGTAGCCCCAGAACTCTGGAGGCAGGAGGATTGCAGCCTGGGGTACATAGTGAGTTCAAAGCCAGCCTGGACTACAAAGGGAAGCCCTCTGAAAGAAAGAAAGAAAGAAAAAAATAACCAGGTATGGTGGTGCATGCCTGTAATTCCAGCACTCAGGAGCTGAGGCAGGATGATTGTTGCAAGTTCAAGGCCAGCCCGGGCTACAACGTAAACTCAAGACCAATCTAAACTGCATAGCCTGAACTGTTTAAAAAAGACAAAAAAAAAAAAAAAAGTTCTAGATCCTATTTTAAGAACCACTTTTTAAAAAACCACTTTTAAAAGTCAGACCATGAAAAAAGTTGCAAAAATGTTCAATTGTGTATTAAAAAAGAGAAACATTACTTTTGACTATGGTAACACACTTGTACAAAGCAATTCTTAGGATGAAAATTGGCAATGATTTCCTGACCTTGAGACCCTCTGCTCGGACGCATGCCCTGACAGCGGAGGGCTGATCCCAAGGGAGCCTCCAGGACAGCTCCTCTGCCCCGTGGTGCTGGCATGGGGCCTGGCATGCTTGTGCCCTGGCAGACAGAGGGAGGCGTGGCACCCGGCCCAGGCTGAGCAGAGGGGCTGTCAGCGCAGGAATCTGGACATGACAGGAGCCAGCCCCACGGCCGGAGGGAGGAGGGAGACGATGGAAAATGCCACCCCTTCCCTGTTGCTGCAAGGTGAACCGGGTTAGTGTTCTCATGGAACAAGAACCCCTGGGTCCAGGCTTGGCTCTGCTCCTGGTGCCCGTGCGCCGCCCCCCAGGCCTGCTCCCTGCTGTGGGAAGTGGACGTCAGGTCTGGTCAGTTCGCCCCACGACCCCTCGGGTCCCGGTTCTAGGCATCTGACTCAGTTCTTTCTTTTTTCTTTTTTTCTTTTTTTTTTTGTCTTTTTGAGACAAAAACTCACTATGCAGTTCAGGCTGGCCTTGAGCTCACTTTGTAGCCCAGGCTGGCCTCGAGCTCCCAAGGATCCTCCTGCCTCAGCCTTCCGAGTGCTGGGATTACAGGCGTGCGCCACCACGCCCGGCTCGCCTCAGCTCTTTCCAGAGCACTGTAGACGAAGGTTACTACCAGCGAGGTGACTGAGACCTTGGGGGTTTGGGACAGCGTCACACTGAGGCCTCTGTCCCAACCAGCCTCAGAACCAGTGCGGAAGTGGGAGAGCCTGTAGAGCTGAAGGTTAAGAACTCTAGGACCCTAGAATCACGTGGACCTGGGTTCACACCCTAAGCCCAGCACAGGGACCGTGTGGCTGTGCCCGGTCTGGGCGCTGGCGAGGCTGTGAGGGTTACAGGGACCAAGGCACCCGCAGCGTCCCGAACACAGAACGGCTCAGCGACTCGGAAGGTTCTTGCTGCATCTCTGAGGAGCACCCAGAGTGGGCTCAGCAGATCTCTCAGGCTGCCGCCAGATCACACGCTTTGCCATCTGCACTGAGATCCGAGACCCTGCCTCGTTCCGAAGAACAGCAATCACAGAACGGCAGAGAACTCCTCTGCAAAAAAGGCTGCCAGACTGCCAGGCGTGGTGGTGTACACCCATGATCCCAGTACCCCGGGAGGCTGAGGCAAGAGGATCCTAAGTTCCAGCCCAGCCTGGGCAACTTAATGGCTTGGTGAGAACTTGTCTCAAAATAAACAATTTGAAAAGGGCTGAGGATGAAGCTTAGTGTGAAGGCCCCAGGTTCAAGGCCCAGCACCAGACGTATGAGAGGAAGGCTGCCAGACCACAGGCAGGACATGACCTTAGCATGAGTCCTCAAAGCCCACCGTCAGTCCCCAGGTAATCACCGCCACTACTCTCTTACCCTTTAAATATATTGCAAGCATCTTTTCCAGAATGGAAAATACAGAAAAATATAAAAATTAAATCCCACTACCCAAGGCAATCCCAGAGCACAAAGGCATACACTGTCTCCTCTACAGCTGTATTCAGCACCAGAATATCACATATGCTTGCTTACACTGTAGTTTTTCAAACATACTGTAAGCATTTATTACACAGCATGGCTATTGTATAAACATATTAGTTTCAAAGACTCAGGTAGAACATCCATATGAAGGAATTTATTGGCCAGGCGTGGTGGTGCACGCTTGTAACCCCAATACCCGGGAGGCTGAGGCGGGAGGATCTTTGTGAGTTCGAGACCAGCCTAGGCCACAAAGTGAGCTCAAGGCCAGCCTGAATTGCATAGCGAGAACCTGTCTCAAAAAGACAGAAAAAAAAAGAGAATGAATTTAGTAATTTAATCTACTGTTGAGTGTTTAGATTATTTCTATTTTTATTTTTTATTTATTTATTGTGGTGGCTTTTATTCTGACACAGTGCCTCACTACACAGTCCAGGCTGGCCTGGAACTTGGTATCTGCTGCCTCAGCCTCCCGTGTGCTGGGGAATTACAGTATTTCCATTTTTAAATTTGTTAAGTATGCTTTAGCGAACACACTAATAAAATTTTGCGCCCGGCTGGGGCCGTACCGCGCTATAGCACGTACAGCTGCAGAACGTGGGTGTAGCGTGCAGGAGTTTGTGCTTGGGTTCACGTCCCAACACCAGTAAACAAACAGGCCAGCCAGCCCGTGACTCTATCTAACACGAGCAGCCCCGCCCTTCAAAACTCACTCGCCCGCTCGTGGCTACACCTCAGCCAGCGTGAACTCTCTCCTTACCACTTCTTAAAAATTGTTGGCGACTTTGCTAGATCAAAACACTGGTCCCTCTTGGCCCCAACACGCATACGCATGTCCACCCCATGCTGCCCAGGCTGCTGTCAGGTGCCTGAGCTTCCCTGGCCTCCGGCCCTCTGCAGGCCGGGCCAGCCCCTGTCCTCCGAGCCCCAGGCTCCCAGGGTGCAGCGGCATGCGGTGAGCACTGTGTCTCCTGTCTGGCCCAGTCCTCCTGGAGAACAGAGACCGCCTGTGAAACCCACCCTGGGTGTGCCCCGTGTGCGGCGTGGTGACCCACACAGGACTTTTTGGGTGAGGGGCAGGTGGGCTGCTCCGGTCATAGGCTCTCCAGGCCAGTTCCGGACCCACGGCACCTGAGGGCAAGTGCATGCTGGGATCTCCATTCCCGGTCATTTCTGCAGATGACCCAGAAGCTCACGGCCCCTGGGGACACGTGGCCCAGAGCCGAGCGGGACTCAGACGACTGCTGAATGGAAGGCAACCCTGGGTGGGTGGCTGGGACGCTTCCTCCTCAGAGGTCAGAGGGCAGCACGCCCGCCTGGGAGAGGTGTGAAGGGGACGTGAGAACTTCCCCTTCCAACAGGAGGGCGTCGTAGGGAGGCCCAGGGCTGGGTGGGGCATCCGGGCTGTGCTCCGAACAGGGACAGCGGCTTCCTGAGTCACCGGAAGCTGGGGAGGGAGAGGGCTGGCTGTACGGAATGTGGGAGAACTTGGGATGGGGCGGCCTGGGACACCAGGGCTCCAGCTTTACTGGGGGGACTTTAGGTAAGTCACGTCCCTTCTCTGGGTCTCAGCTTCTCCACCTGTGAAGGATCAGGGTCTCCGCAGCTCTGCCCCTAAAGGCTGGAAGTGGAGCGCGGTACCTGGGTGGTGCACACAGCTCTGAGCCCTGCAGCTCGCCCAGCACTCACCGACCTGCAGATGGACCAGAAGCCCCCTGGGCTGCAGCGGGCACAGCTGTCCAAAGCAGACAGGAGTTGGCTAGGATGACAGGACGGGACCCACAGCTGTGGCGGAGCCCGACAAGCTCACCTGCAGCCAGGTGAGACCCCCGAGAAGACGCTCACAGTCTGGAGGGAGCGTGGACCAACCCGGGAAGAAATTGACAGGCCCTGGAAGGAGAGGAGACCCAGGACCAAAGCTGTGACCAGGACAACAGCTGGTCGGCCCGGAGAACCGGGGAGAAAGCCTGACCGCTCTCTTCAAACACTGGCAGGACTGGAAGTGGCTGGTGTGGCCGCTCCAGCCTCGTGCGGCAGGACTGTGGCCACGCGGTGCAAGTGCCCACGCCTCAGGAGTGTCAGAGCTACCCTCCGGTGGGCCTGCCTCGTGGGCGTGCAGGGCACGACAGCCTAGGACTCCACCAAGTGTCCCCGCGTCCAGCGAGCAGACCCCTCTGAGGAACGCAGGGTACTCCGCTAGCGTAGGCGGCACACAAAGTGCCAGCCTCACAGCGCCTCGGAGCTCTGTCCAGTACTCTCCGGGCTACAGCACGGGGGAGCGGCACCCGCACGCCTCTGGGGTGGGCGTCCCAGCCTCCCTGCAATTCTGAGCCCCGGCAGGTAAGAGCGACACGAGCAGAAGCAACTTGGACAGCAGCTGCCCAGCTGTCCCTTCCAGATGCGGTCAAGGGTGGCCCTGAGGAGGGCGTGCCTTGCCTGCAGGCACCTGGCCTGGCCCACCTTCCAGAACCTTCACCCCACTCTGCCTGTGGCCGCCCGAGCTCGTGTATTTCTGCTAAGCGCGTGGCAATCTCCAGCTAACCTAGAGCCCTCGGTGTACAGGGCCTGGAGTCCGGCCGGCCGCTGCCGGGTCCATAGCCGTAGCCCGGCTCCCACGGGCCACGTCCACCCGCCTGTCCTGGCTGAGCTGAGGAGGTGCACGGGGACCCAGAGGGCAGCCAGGAAGGGCCCCGGGGAGTTTGCTCCAATCTCCACGCCTCTCCCAGATAGGGAAACTGAGGCCCTGGGGGGGGGGGCTGGGCAGAGTGCCTGCCGGAGACCACCCGGGGAGAACCTCAGCATGCGCCCTCCTCCTTTTCCCGTGGGCATCTGGAC